CCCCCCGCCCCAGGAAAAGGGGACCCAGAGCAGCAAGCTGGCGAAAGGGAGGAGGTCCCATGGCGTCAGCCTGCTCTCTGATAGCTCTGCTCCTGCGGCACAACCAATCACCACCACAAATGTATAACAACCACAAAAGGATTGAGTTGAAGTTGCGGCACTGCAGCTTAACTAGTTACTTGTAAAACTCTGTGATGTGGACAGGCGCGGCTCGACTGTGAGGGAACTAACTAGCGGCATGTTCGGGATTGGACACTGTGCTTGTGACTGGAAGGTCAGCGGCTCGAATGCCAGGGCTGGGCAGACTGCTGACACTGTTGGGCTCCTTAACAAGGCCCTAAACCCCCAGTTTCTCCTGGGGGGGGCTGCACACTGGCTGACCCAGCGCTAGGCCCCCCAAGCTTGCTCTCACCTGTCTGTGTGTCTCATAGAGAAGAAGACGGGACAGGCGAAAAGACAATTTCCCCACAGGAATCAATAATGTATCACTATTCTATTCAATGCACTGTGTGTTTCTGTGATTCTCGCTCTCAATTCTCAGTGATTTATGGACAGGAGATGTATGTGGAAAATCACACCAAAAACCTGTTGGTGCCTAACCCTGCAGGCAGGAATCCTCACCCTGTTTTGTTTGCTGTTCTGAAGGACTGGAGCGTCACTATCATGCGTTACATCTCAGTGTGGTCAGGATTCTGTTGGCAGTTCCCAGTCCTGATCTTCTTCCACTTTCCATCTCTCCTACCTACACTTTCAGCGGCTGCTCAGGCCGACTTCATACCGGGGCACCGAGAGCGTTGAACCCGCGCTGGGGTTTAATACCCCTGTAAGGCAGGGGCTCCCTGGGTTAGTGAGCCACGCTGCCCTCTAGCTGCTGAAACAGCACATTTCAGTAAGTTTGTCTGAGAATGAGCTGGGCTGGAGAAGCGTCTTCTGGGAACAGCGAACTGCAGCAAATAATTCGGGCATCTCCGCTTATCCCATTTAGCCCTGCCCCCGCTGCCCCCGCTGCCCCCGCTGCCTCCCGTCGCAGAATGTAGAGGTTAAAGGGACTCCGCAGCATTAGATTCTTTACCCAGGCGAGTCAGGGGTCACGAGTCTCGCTCACGCTTCTGAATTTACTCAGGAACTACAAGAGTTGTACTTGCGGAGCCCAGAGGGGGGTGGGGGGGATTGCAGCGCTGTCCACTTAATCAAAAAAAAACCCAGCATTCATGCTCGCTAAAACCTGAACCAATCTGCAGTCCCCCCACCCCCCAAACCCAGGAAGAGTGCGATGGTCACCCCCTCCTTAATCTGTCTGCCCCCATCGCACCTGAATTCCTGAATGTTCCAGAAGCCGAAATCAGACTTTGCTTCCTAAATCCTTATGCCCAGTGCTCCTTGACAGCCAAAAACTATATTACAAAACATTCATTTTACGTAAACACATTTGCCTCTTATGCAATTATGCAAAAAATGAATGTGATGCAGCAATCCGTAACCGTGATACCAGATATGACATACACTACTGCGTTTGTTGAAGCGGTCATTGAAAACTGATTTACATACATGCAAATATATATCACATTATGACAGGGAGGGCTGTTCACTATCTCCCCTACACATGACAGTGACTCACAGTCTCTTTCAGGAACCTTTATAAAGTCAAAAACTCAAATATAAAAGTCAGACCTTGGTTTCAGGAACATTATGATAGCGTGTATACAGACAACCCCCTTAAGATCCATATTTTTCCCCTGGGACCATTTCCAAGTCTCAAATGCATCCAGTTAATAAAGTGCCGGCTTAGAGTTCCATGTTGGGGCCGCTTATTGAGGTGCCCGCATGCCGCTGGGGGCTTCTCGTGTGTCTAAGTGTTAGGGTGGAGCAGCTGACAAAAGCCATAAATAAAAGGGTCCCACCGGGATGAGGCCCCCCCCGGGGAACGGCATTCTAAATACAGAAGCGTCACTTTTGTTCGAGCATCGGCGGAAGAGAAGCGAGGGGGGGGCACAACTATTGTGTCAATGCCCCCCGCCCCCAAAGAGAAAAGCCACAACAATCAATAGATCGTAAAAAAAAAAAAAAAGAAAAAAAGCACGTGTCCCCAGCTCCCAGAGAAAACTCAAAACCCTCCGAGGGCAGGAAATGACACCCTGGCTCCGGCGTTCAAATAAAAATGGAAATTCTCACGCGAGGTTGTTCCCGTGAATGTCAGGCTCACGGACCCGTTTCAGGTCCAAAAAAAAAAAAAGTCACGACAAAAAAAAGTTCAAAATGTCGTGAGTGGAGTGTTTGCTAACAGAGAAACTCAATTCCCAGTAAGATGAGTCGTATAAAGTAATATCATTTTTATCCGATCTGTTAAGTGGGTGATAACAGCACCTCCCGCGGATAACAACACCTCCAAAACCTTGTGGACGATATTAATATTTACTCTGGAGGCATTTTCTCTTCTCTCAGGTTGTGTTACAAATAGGAATATTGGTTATCCCTACTCATCCTGCATACGTTAATTGAATTTGTTTTTGATGGTATTATTTGTTACACACCGTGTGTATGGAACCTGGGGACCGCCTTGCTAATACTGCGCTGCACGCTCCTGTGTCCCCAGAACAGCCTCGATTATTTGATGCAATTGGCCTTTCGCTAGGATGCCAGTCCACAGGGACTCGACGGTGCCCCCCGGAGTCACATCGCGCCCTCTGCGTCATCTACGGATAGCAGACTGCTCTACATCCACAATGGACACCTGAGCCTGTAAATCCAGCAGCACCTCAACACAAAATATCATTTGTCTCAAGTTTTAAAAATCCCTCCCTTAGTAACTGGAGAGGTTTTAACAGTTAAATGTGGATGGAAGCATGTGCCCTTAATGTTTGGCATGCTCAGAGCATGCGTTCCATCGCCTTGTCTTGTGGATAAATTATTAGAGGTATACAAGGCCCTCAGAGCAGTGAAATGTGTGGCGCTCACTGTGTCAAAACGTTTGTCAGACGGTGGAGGTGGCTCTCCGAGTCAGGCAGCACTGAGAGATTCACAAGCAGGAGGTTTCAAGCTGCTACGATCCATCGCTGATATAGCAGCTGTCTGAAGGGGCTTTGTCCCAGACTTCTGTCATAAGCAGACTGACACATTCAAAAAGCACATCTGCATTTGCAAAATAATTTCATGACAGTTAAAAATGAGGCCATTACGTAATGCGTAATAAAAAAAAAAGGCTTTCAGCAGTGGATGTTTTATACCAATGTCCACACAGATCGTGTGGTGTTCTCCTCCAAACAGACTCTGCGACGTCTGATGTAGTATGACCTGATGGACACCAAATGTCTGGAACATCTGCACGACTTCGATGTTTGTAAACACAACCTGTCAGCCTCTCCTGGCCACATAACGACCGTTAAACTGACTAATTGTATGCGGCCACGGATGTTAACGTCCGGCCAGATTGCGTCTTGGGTTATGACGCTCCTTTCACTTATGGACTCTCCCGCTAGTCGCCTCGGTTGGTTTTTTTCCTTCTCGTAAACAAACGCCATAACACTCGTGACAGGGCAAAAGGACACGATTGTGAGCTGTGCAGTGAGGTAAGCGTCTGCCCGTCCGTTTGCGAGAATGTCAGGACGTCTTAATGACCGTCATGCGTTGTTCATTACACTAATGCACAAAAAACTATCCCTGAGAACAAACAGTGCTATGAAAGATTAATTCAAGAGCACTAGTGCTGTTAAATTCCCCGCGTTTTATAATTAGCAAACGTTGTTTAACACAACGTTTTTTTGCTATGACTTTCATCGAGATGTATTTTATGTTCTCTCGGTGCCAAATTAAGAAATGAAAACGAAGCAGAAACAGCACGGAATTAAAAGGTAGAGATGGGTGTGCTTGGGGTCGTCCCGGGGCGTCTTTCTGCCGCCCGCTCAGAGCGACGTCAGGGCAGGACACGACGTGCTTCCACACCCGGCTGATAAGGATGTCCTCTGGGTGATTTCTGAGTTTCTGAGGAACTTTATATTTCAAAGTGAACGACAGAGGTATAAATAAGGGTCTGGCCTGTCAGACGCGCTTGTCCACCGTCGAGTAATATGTCGGGAAGCCAGGCCCATATTCAATGAGCCGGCTGTGGGCTACAATTCCCCCCGGGCCCTGACTGCATTATCGGACTTCCTGGATACGTGCCGTCCCATGACTGAATTAGCTGCGGCAATTGACTTATTGCTGCGTCCAATTTGTGCGTCGGCCTTCGGTGAGAGTGACGGGGTCCACTGGGCAGAGTGGAGAGGCCTGCTCCCCCCCCCCAGCTCTGTTTGATTTAATGATTTTCATTGGGGGTAGGAAGGCATGAAGAGCATCATGCCCCAGCCTGTGTGATGCATGTGACGCTCCCGCTGGTGGAGGGGGTCCTTAGGCCCCCGCTATGAAGGGAGGGTGGCTGCCTGCTCGCCCTGGACGGCTCCCAGACAACCCTGTCTAGTGACGGGGGTCACACTTTCCCCCACAGCAAGAAAAAAAAATCAATTTTTCCAAAACAAATGAGTTCTACACCCTTGATTTAAAAAGCATCTTTATAAATCTGCCCCATTTTCTAGGAACTGAAATGTAAGCACAGACCCTTCACTGTTTACATTGTGGGAGGCCTCGTCCGCCATAAATATTTGTCTCTCTGCTAAAGTGTCGAGGCAGCCCTCGGTTGCCGCTGAAGCCATCTCATCAGGAGCCTGCAAAACGTTCAATCTGTCTGCTTTTCAGCCGCTGGAGGTGCCCAGAGAAAAGGAGCCTCATATCTATTACGATGGCGAGACCCGACACATAGTGTAGCTGCAAACTGAAATAAGAATGAAAGACCCTGTGTTCTCTCTCTCTCTCTCATTCTCACTCTCTTCTTTCAATGGACTGGCAGTGGGGTGGGGGGGCAAAGTGTTACACATTGGAAGAAAACAACATGTAAGAGGAGGGCAAGGGAAAAGGTCAGTATGTAAGAGAGAGGACTAAGCGAAAGTGCGGAGAGGCAGATGGGAGATCCAAGAGTTATCCGAGAGCATTAATCAAAACTGTTGGAGTATCTGGGCCCAGCAGTCAAAGGTCAGATGATATGATTCCTTGACATGACTTATCACAGTTCCTGCCTTAAAGCTTTGTCTCGTTACCATTAAATTACTCCTTTCATTTCGTAACTGACAACTGCGTAGGGAACAGGTTGGCATTCAGTACTCAGAATGACATGAACTATCCGGCGGACATTATGAGATTGAGGGGGATTTGACTTTCTAGTTAAAATATTACCAGGAACTGAGATTTAAATGTGAGATAAGATCAATTACGACAAAAGGGGGAATTAAGCTGGCCAACCCACAGCCAAAACAGGCACACACACGCTCTCATAAATATGCATATAAGTTAATGACGTTCCACTGCACTCAGGAACGAAAAGCACGAAAGCACACCAAGAAATGGAAAATGTCACTCACTTACTTGCAAGAGAGCTGATTTATACCGTGTATGAAGTAACAGTCACCGTCATTCACACAGTAGGCTTTCTCTGTCTCGTTGCATCTTCTGGCGTGACCTGACCCCGGAGACAGTGTGGTGGTTACTGCAGGAGACAGGGGAGAATGGGTGTCAGCTCCCGGGGCAGTACGGACGCCAGGGCAGCACACCGCAGCAGCGAGGGAGTCGTGCACTGAGGAATTAACGCCCCGCAGAGGCACCGGGAGATAAATATGGGAAGTAATACAGCGGCTGTAAAGGGTTGCCAGGTTATTGTTAGAAACGGCGGTGTGGAGGTTTATGGACCCTCGCTGTGCGGCGCACCAGAGACGGATCATCCTTCACCAGCGGTGGAGACACCGTGCTTACCGGCAATGACATCCGAACTGATACCGGTCAACCCACATTGTCTGCAGGACGTGGGGGGGTAGGAGTCCAAACAATACCGGCGTCACATCCTTCTACAGCAGGGATATTCAATTCAGGCCCTCGATTCCAAATCCAGGCCTTGTTTTCAGTTCTCCCAGGTAGTTAGTTTAATAATTACTGATTCTGATTGGTCAGAGGCTTCACACCTGGCTCACAGGTGAAGGAAGGCTGGGAAATCAGCAGGGCTCGGACCTCGAGGGCCGTGATTTGGATTGCCCTGTTCTACAGGATCTTACACGTGGCGTTTCATCTTACTGCTCCCATCTCTCGCAGAATGTGACACAGGACGTGCAGCTCGTCGACCACAAGGAGCACACAGTGACTGCTATATTCAGAATAAAAGTCCCAGAAAATGACCTGAAAAGCACTGGAAACATTATAGAAATGAACGAAATCTGTAGAAATTAAGGACACATGGACAATAGGACTTTCATTCGTTATCTTACAGATTACAATAGGACAATATTATCGGAAAAATGAGTTTAAATATGATTTAATTGCTGTTGTTCCTGTCCATTTATACTTTTATATAAGATGGGAGGGGGGCATCCCTTGTGGGTTGCTGCCAAGTGAGTTGACAAACCCATTTGCTCACCATTACCCAATCACTGATCATTTAAATACTTCTGTTCCTTCTCTAAGCCCCCCAAACAGGATGTCCACCCGTCCCATGTTCCCCCATCCCACGTCCACCCGTGGACATCAGACTGTCCTCTGATAAAGTCAAAAAATGAAAAAAAATTCGCCATCCCTCTATGAACAAGGCATTCACTTAATTAACGAAGTATACTGACTGATACAGTAGCTGATGTAGTAAAATACATTACTCAGGTGGGACACCCCTGTTAGCAGGCTAGCTTTCGCTAACCAGCCGCTAGAGACACCCCTGTTAGCAGGCTAGCTTTCGCTAACCAGCCGCTAGGGGCACCCCTGTTAGCAGGCTAGCTTTCGCTAACCAGCCGCTAGGGACACCCCTGTTAGCAGGCTAGCTTTCGCTAACCAGCCGCTAGGGGCACCCCTGTTAGCAGGCTAGCTTTCACTAACCAACTGCTAGGGACACCCCTGTTAGTAGGCTAGCTTTCGCTAACCAGCCACTAGGGTTACCCCTGCTGTGACATGAGAAGACGGGGAAGTCGCATGAAAATTAAACAGCGTCATAAATTAAAAGGCGCAAGCACTGCACTAATTTGAGTCATGCTGAGTGGATGATCACGCCTTTAATTAGAGTCATACCTGAAGATATATAGAAATATCTTTAACATTAAACTGCTCTATAAGCCATAAATACAAGAGGAACAACCCTAACTACTACTGCTGTGAAAACTAATGCTATCATGATTATAATGCAATAATATTACCAAACAATAATAATATTACTAACAATAATAACTATTACTAACAGTAATAACTATTTAACTACTACTACTACTACTACTATTACTACTACTACTACTACTACTAATAATAATAATAATAATTGCTTAGACTATCAATTGGTGAATAAGCTCACTGTAAGGTTTATTTTCAATAAATATATCATTTTTTTATAAAAACCACAAAAAAACACATCAAACACATTAAACATAATTTGAAACCGATGAAATTTAATATGGTGAATTTATTGTTTCCTTAAAAAAAAACCAGCGATAATAATTATGCATACAAAACTTACACTGGGTGTGCTTTAACAAATCCTGTTGTGTTAAGCATTTAAATTGAAATGGAACTGCAGAGCTGTTTACCTTCATCATATCCTGCTTTGGCACTGAACAGGGTTCTGCTTTGGGTAACTTTTCCGTTTCATTAATCTTACATGAGTTCTCTGCACAAATGGAAATTGAATTTACCTCCGACTTACTCCTGCCCTAATATCTGATCGCAGGACAACGTGACACAAGTGAGTAAACATATGACTTTTGTTGGCTTTCCTTTTTTGCACTGCAGGTTTACGTGCAAAATCAGCACAATCATCCTTTGAAGGGAAGGCAAGAAAAGCACAGTCAGACAGCTCCAGGAGTCAGTGATGGCAGACAGGAGTACCCACAATGCTTTGAGGCGCTGACCGCTGAGCCAGGTGACCACTCTATGGTTTCTGCAAGTGGTAAGAACTAGTTACCCATGAACCACCTTTTAACTAGAACCAGATCAGGATTAAAGGTTGAAGACCTTTGTGTGAAGTTTGCAAAGTTTACTGCGCAGAGGGAGTGGCCTCAGGAGGGAGTGGTCTCAAGTGGGCGTGGCCTCAGGAGGGAGCGTCAGGTGACTAGGGTTGGGGTCACATTACCTCTACCTGCGTCCAGTGACGCTGCCCAGGAAAAAGGTACAACCCCCATGTCTGCAAGCCTGCTGCACACCACAGCAAACAGAAGCCCTCCTGCCTGGTTTCCAATTCCTGTTTCCTTATAGTGCCCTGTCTATTCCTGGGTCCATATCACGCCTCACACATCCCCGCACAGACGCTCCCCTACATGGCTGTAAGTCACCGTCAACGTGAGCATTTTCAATAAAACAAAGCACTCTGTGAATTGCCTTCTGATGTACTCAGTCTCACTGGAATTACTCCACCGAGATGAGCGATAGCTCTCTTAACCGAAAGTCTATATTTTGGCTGCACAGATAGAAAAAGGACATCCTTGGACACCTGCTGTAGATTAGGTGAGACAGATGTTGAACTCTCCACCTAGAGCAGGCTGATTATAGACTGGGGCTTGCAAGCTCGCTGTTTTTTTGCACTTTTTTTTTTTTGTTTTCCCACCATAAATCTGTGATTCAATGACATCATGCCGAAACCTCTGTACCACATGGGTGTGCTATTGGATGCACTCAAGGCAGAATAACCTGAAGGGTATCCACTGAAAGCCTCAGAATAATTGTAATCTTTACATTTGACCTGCTTGTAACAATACCACATTTTGTCCTTTCAAAGCATAGCAATTTATAATAAACTCAAATAATGACAAAATTATTTGTAAGTCATTCTATATAAAGATAATAGTGCCCCGGCAGGATTTTTGAATTGGATGCATACAGTGTGTATCTCTTAAGTGAGTTTTACATTTTAAAAACATAATTACAGAGGTCTGCAGTCACAACACCTGTGTAAAGCTGAAATCGCAGATATCTTTATTAGAATGACAACTTACAGCCCAAAATGAGGATTTATACGCTTCTCCTGTAGGCTTGATGCTACTTCCAAAGCTTGATTCATAAATAAACATCAGTAAATTGGTCTATCATTCAGGAACCTTCGACTAACAGCATCCCGGTGTGCTCCTGTGAAGCAAACAACGTCCTGGGCATCAAGAGTAGCTGTCCTGAAAGATGATAAAAAAATGTGCATTTTTAACTATAGAGTGATAGCCCTTAACGCATTAACTGCATACACGCTGTGTCAGAAGCCAAGCATCCATGAGGCCTACAGGAAAATATGCAAATCCCTCGAAACAGAAGGTCGCAGGTCACAATGAGTAATACCCAAAATGGGAACATAAACATCTCACTGTTTCCCACCGACGGCACTCCATAACCCCGGCGTTATTTTCCATTTACGTTCGACGTTATACTGAATGCAAATGCAAATGCTGTGATTAATCTGAGAGCGAACCACTGGCATGGGCAGAATTTCACTTAAGCAAATGCAACATGTCATTTATTTGACCTGGCACTTCCTCCACTCTGCTGTTTGTCATATAACTCTATCGACTTCATAAAGGCAACTTCGTTTGTTTATTCAGGCTGTGACAGCACACTGAAGTACATATGCAAATTTTTTTTAACGTTAAAATGTACACTATTGGTTCGGGGCTTGTGCATTTTCCCAGATTTTCACTTATTTTTTGTGGTTACCACCTGTATGCCTGCAGAAAAACCCAGCTAATAGCTGCTCTATCTGTTCCCACCAATTCCCACCAATCAGCTTTGTTTCCTGTCACAGATAAGTGTCTGATTGGTGGACCGGCACAGCCAGTTACTGACGGAGGCCCATCAGAGTGGCGGAGCCACTTGAGGGCTAGCTAGCCGTGAGGCCGTGATGTATTTAAACGGCTCAACCCTCAGTAGGATAACGCCGATTCGTTCTGCTGCTGCGGGATTCCCTGTCACGACTGAGTACGTCTTCATTTGATGCCACCTGTTTAAACGTACGTGATATGGCCAGATGTTTCATACGAATTTGAGTTTAATGACCATGTCCGTACGACAGACCGGAAGAGAAATGCTACGCACCAAGACCCCCTGTCCCCTGGACCTTACATAATAATTACTTAGCACTCTGAATCGCCAACGTTGGACGTACAACTCAATCAGTCACTGATGATACCAGGGGGCCAGAGCATAGTGACGCCAGGGGTTTGCCATCATAAATACGTGTGTGTTTTTTAACAGGAGCAGCAGAGGTGCAGGCACTGAGGCAGCTGAGCGGTCACACTTGGCATGATTGAGAGCGAGTGCTGGTTGTCAAAGACGGTGCTTTGCACGACCATATAAGCAAATGGAAATTTTTGCTGAGCCTCCGCCAGCTGCCCCCGAAGCCTCGAGAGAATGACTCAGCCCTCATTTTTACCAAACCCCCCCCCCCCCCAACCCCTCCCCCAGAGTAAAGAACTCCCCACACTCCAGGTTCCTTCAATGCGCACTTGTCCGTATTTCACGTCTCTATTACCTCTGAGAGCCTTTCAG